AATATCAGAAAGGGAGACGGAACATAAAGACTCCTAACTCTGGGAAACGAACTAGGGGTGGTGGAAGGGGAGGAGGGTGGGGGGTGGGGGTGAATGTGTGATGGGCACTGGGGGGGGCACTTGACAGGATGAGCACTGGGTGTTATTCTGTATGTTGGTAAACTGAACACCAATAAAAAATAAATTTATTAAAAAAAAAAAAAGAACCAAATGGAGGGACTCCTGGGTGGCTCAGCAATTGAGCATCTACATGATCCCAGGGTCCAAGGATAGAGTCCAGACCTAATCACCTTCCAAAAGCCCCACCTCCTACTATGTTATCTTAGGAGTTAGGATTTCAACAGATGGATTAGGCTGGGGTGAGGGGGTGGAGATGGGGGCATAGTGAGATGGGGGCCCACCCGGGCCGCCCCTACAAGTGTATTTAAAGAACAAAGGAAGCTCACATGGGCTAGGTAGCTCACCCCAAGTGAGAACTGGGGTTAGGCAACCCAGGTGGCTCAGCGGTTTAGCGCTGCCTTGGGCCCAGGGCGAGATCCTGGAGACCGGAGATCGAGTCCCACGTCAGGTTCCCTGCATGGAGCCTGCTTCTCCCCCTGCCTGTGTTTCTGCCTCTCTCTCTCTCTGTGTTCATCATGAATGAATAAATCTTAAAAAAAAAAAAAAAAAAAGAACTGGGGTTAAGAATCAAAGTCATTTGAATCTAAGTCATTTTCACCAATGAGGACCTTCCACCACTACCCATGGAAAGTAGGTGTGTATCTGGTTGGTGGAGGTACAGGATCAGAGTGGCTAGTAAGGCCTTAAAATCAAGTAATTCAGGAAGAACAGGGCAATATGAAGCAGGTGAGTGCTATGGACATGAGCAGAAAACATTTCAAGATGCAGAATCAACTGATGGGGGACTCAGGTACCAAACAACCAGGCATAGGGATGCAAAAGCTGCCCAAATAGCTGGTGGTCAGGACAGAGGCAGAAGACTGGGAACAAAGAGCCAGAGATTACATTGATATTTTAGGACACACAAGATTAGAATCTAGAATTAGAGTAATAGGTACCGGGAATAAAAATAATTGTACTTTTTGAGTTAAGTACTATACTTTTAATCTTCCTTGCCCTGGGAGCCTTAAAATGTGGCTAGGCCTAAATTCACAGGTGGGTGGGAGCTAGAAAAACTGGCTGGAGTTATTGAAGCAAAGGAGTGGGGAGCCAGTAGTTCCTGATGCCTGCCTTCTATCTTTTGAAAGTCTTGTAGGTCAGGCTTATGCTATCCTTTTTTTTTTTTTTTAAATATTTATTTATTTGAGAGAGAGAAGCAGAGAGGGGAAGAAGGAGAGAAACTTTAGTAGAATCTGCACTCAGCACAGAGCGTGATGTGGACCTTGATCTAAAAACCCAGAGATCATGACCTGAGCCTAAAGAGTTAGACGCTTACCTGCCTGGGCCACCCAGGTGCCCCAGTCTTTATCTAGTCTTAACTTTTCCCTTTTCTGCTTCATAGCCTAGTTTCCTTTATACATCCTTTGATAATAAATGACCTCCCATACATATCATTATTTAGAGATTTCAGTGAGCTATTTAGGATTCTTCCCCACCCACTCAAACATCACTCTTGCCCAGTGTCTTATTCTCTGAAACACTAAATATTAGCATATGTAAATTCAACTAGTTAACCGATAACATAGTGCTTTGCCTCTGTCTCTAGAATTGGGCCAATCTTAAAGAATTAAGATGGTTTCTACGACCATGCAGACCATGCTGCATGGACTGCCCCTTCCCCTCCTCCTGCAGCTACTCACTACAGTGAGCTCTCCCAGGTCAAGGACTATATTTCATTCATTTCTATCTTTATTATATTAAGTGCTGGCACCTAATAGTCCCTCCATAAAATTATTTTTTCAATTTGAATAAAGCAATGACCACCCTACTAAAATTGCTGGTCTTGGGACACCTGGGTGGCTCAGCGGTTGAGCATCTGCCTTCGACTCAGGGTGTAATCCTGGGATCGAGTCCCACATCAGGCTCCCTGCATGGAGCCTACTTCTCCCTCTGCCTGTGTCTCTGCCTCTCTCTGTCTCTCATGAATAAATAAAATCTTAAAAATAAAATTGCTGGCCTCCCACATTCTGTCTTCTCTGTTTAGTTTTTGTCCATTGCATACAGTTATGGATTGAATTGTGTCCCCCCTCTCCATCCCCAAAAGATGCATCAGTTCTTCCGACCCCCAGTACCTGTGAATGAGACCTTAATTAGAAATAGGGTCTTTGGAGATGATCATGTGAAGATGAGGTCATTAGGGTGGGCCCTAACCCAACATGAATGAGTCCTTATAAAAGCGTGAAATTTAGACACAGATACATATGCACACAGGAAGAATGCCATGGGAAGATGAAGACTGAGATTGGGATGAGCAGCAGAATCCAATGAATGCCAAAGACTGTTAGCAAACCACTAGGATGTAGGAGAGAGGCCTGGAAGAGAGTCTCCCTCCCAGCTTCCAGAAGGAACCAACACTGCCAACACTTTGATCTGACATTTTGCACCTCCAGATCATACAGCACATTACAGTTTAAGCCATAGTTTGTGGTACCTTATTATGGCAGCCCCAGCAAATAAATACTTGCCCTCTTTACCTTCTACCTTTATAACTGTCTCCCTGATTAGAACGATTTTAACAAAGGTCTGTTGGTGCAGAATTCTCTTGGTCTCAGCTTCTCCTTGATGATAAGAATATTAATTTTCTTCTGGTATAAGGAGGACATCTTTCTTTCTTTTTTTTTTTTTTTTTAGGAGGACATCTTTCATATAGGATTTTCGTTTCCTGCTTTTAAGAAAAAGGAAAATTAGGGTATTTTTTTCCCCCTCTTGTATTTGCTGTTTTTCAAGTCCTCTGAACTCTATGCCAAAGCAGCATACCCTCCGGTGTATGCCCTGGAATCCTTCATCAGCATTTCCCAACAGTCCTGAGAGGTATTATCTGAGGGTGAGAAAGCAGTGGTTACCCCCTTACACAAGGCATGAAGAAATTATAAGGGGTAGAATTCAGGTCTTCTAAATCTCAGTCCAGTGTCTTTTTGTTTTACAGGTCATAGCTGCCCCATTTTTCCTTTTAATGTCTGGATAAAGAATGAGTGGGACCCCGAAACATGAAAGAGATGTGACTGTAGAATTGGAAGGAACAGAGAATTCTGTGGGTCTTTGGACTCTGTAGCCATTACTTATGGCCTCTCTGAGGGGATTGTGGGCAGTGAGCAAGGAAGGATAGGCTTGAGTTTCAGGAAGTAAGGACTGATACCAAGTGCCCCCCACCCCCCACAGCAATGGTCTTCCTTTACATACATGTACAGGACACACACACACACACAACCAAGGGGCCAGCCTTGAGACATGGTCTAGATAGAAACCATCCCAGATTGCCAGAACAGGCAGTTAGGAGTTCAAAGAAATGAGAAAGAGGAGAACACTAAAAAGAGGCTGGAATAAAACAAATATGAGATTAGTTAACCAGGAGTGAAAGTGTGGGTGGGTGCTGAGCAGGTGGAGGGTGAAGAGAGTATGAGGACCGGGTGGAAAGACCACATTTTGTGCTTGATGTGCAAGGATAATGGTCAGCAAGATTGAATGCTAGCTACTTCTGAGACTCCTTTGACACTTCCTTTTCTTTCAAGATTTTGAAAGAGTGAGCATGAGTTGGGGGTGGGGGACAGGGAGAGGGAGAGGGAGTAGACTGGGGCTTAGCAGGCAGCCCAACTAGGGGTTCCATCCCAGGACTCTGAGATCATGACCAGAGTATAAGGCAGATGCTTAGCCGACTGAGCCTCAGGCGTCCCCCACCTTTGACCTTTGGATACAGAATTAATTTTTTTTTGATACAAAGTTAATTTGCAGTACGGACTTTTCCACAAAAGTCTCCCACAATTTTCAGGTAGCCTCCAGATAGCTTTTAGTGGCATCATGAAACTGATAATCACTAGGGCAAACAGGTGGAAGAAGAGGACTGAGGCAGAAGAGTAGTGGTACCTCTGCAAATACATAGGCCTAGGAGAGGTGGGCGCCTGGGCTACCCCCTGGGGGCATCTTGTTTTAAAAAACGATACCCAGGCAGCTGTCTAGGTGTTCAGGATGACCTTGGTGATCTTCTGTGGCAGATTACTGGTCCTCACTCTCCTGGAGTTCTAGGTTGTTCTATGAAGTACTAGACTTCGAGGAAGCCTAAACTTCGAGGAAGCCTCCTCCCAGATCCTTTCCCTAGAAGCGCTTGGAAGGGGGGCACCTGGGTGGCTCAGGGGTTGAGTGTCTGCCTCTGGCCGAGGTTGTGATGCCGGGGTCCTGGGATGAGTCCTGCATCAGGCTCCTTGCAGGAAGCCTGCTTCTCCCTCTGCCTAGGTCTCTGCCTAGGTCTCTGCCTCTCTCTGATTCTCATGAACAAATAAATACAATCTTAAAAAAAAAAAAAAGAAAAAAGAAAAAAGAAAAATGCTTGGAAGGATAGGAAAACAGCTAGAGACTGTTTACCTGGACACACGCAGTGACACCAACTATCGCCGCCCCTCTCGGTGGCCGGGGCGTTCTGCACGGTCCGGACCCGCTTAGGGGAGAGGGGCGACCCCGGGGCGACGCGTCCCCGGGGCGGGGCGGGGTAGGGCGGGGTGGGGCGGGCGGGCTTCTGGGAGGAGGCGGCGGCCGCGCAGTCTGGCAGGCCGGGGATGCTCGCAGCCGGAGGCAGCCCGGAGCAGCCGCGGGGGCAGCGCAGGAGCGCAGCCTCCTCCCGCTCCCACAATGCACAGGGCGGCGGCGGCGGCGGCATCGGCGGCGGCATCGGCGGCATCGGCGGCCGCGCAGGGGGCTGCGGCGGCGGCGACCCCGAGGACCCCGAGGAGCCCGAGCACGCGGAGCGCGTGCACCTGCTGGCGGCGAGCCCGGGCGTGATGGGCAGGGCCCCGCGCGCCGCCCGCGCCTGAGGCGCCCCGCCCCGCCCCGCCCCGCCCGCCCCGGCCCCGCTCGCTGCCGCCGGCTGCCGGGCGCTTCCTAGTCGGCGCGGGCGGCCGCCCAGGCGAGGTGCGGCCTCCGCTCGGGCGGGGGGCTCGCGCCGGGGCCCCGCCATGGCCGCGTCCGAGCTCTACACAAAGGTGAGGGGGCCGCGGGCGGGGCGGCTGCACCCCCGCGCCCCGCGCGCGCCCCAGGACCCCGGGCCCTGCCGCGCAGCCGCCTTCCCCTGGGGCGCGGGGCGCGGGGCGCGGGGCGCGGGGAGGCCGGCCGAGGGCGCCTGGGTCGCGAGGGCCCTGCCGGCCCGCCGGCTTTGGGAGGAATCCTGGCTGCGGGCGGGGCTGCGTCCCGGCGACCTCAGATGGGCCCTCCCGCGGGGACGGCGCTCAAAATAAGGTCTGGCGCTGGGCTGCGGCGCCGTCCCCCCGGCCGGCCTCCCCGCCAGCCCGCAGCCCGCAGCCCTGCACTCGCGCGCCCGCCGAGTCTCACCTTGAGCGGCCGGCTTCCCGGGGGGGGGGGGCGGGGGGGGCGGGGGGCACGGGCCGGGGGTCGGTTCCCTCGTCCCCGGGAGTTCGCTACCTGCGTGCAACCCCTAGAGCCCTGTTAGGCTCCATGCCTGCAGCATCCGCCGGGGCGAGCCGCCTCCTTCAGGATTCCGTTCAAGGGAAGCGTCCTTTCTCTCCTGTACCGACGTCAGTATTTTCTGAATGGCATATTTTGGAGAACCGTCCGAAAACGTGTCTCCGGCCGCGTTGTGATGCTTTGTGAACGTGTTGTAGCCATGGCATTTTATTATACTGTACCTCCAGCGTACGTAGGTGTTTAGCCAACTATTAATTTCCTTTCGTTCCACTTAACAGAATTGGCTTAGCTCTTCAAGTGCGTATGGGCAGCAGAATCTCCATTTAGCGTCTTCAGAATCATGGTTTCCAAATGTGACCCTAAATTGCTGCATGGTTGGACCCACCGTCAGAGAAAAAGATATGGATTTCTAGCCCAGGTGCCTTTTTTCCCTTACTGTGTGACCTTGGGCAAGTCACTTAACTTCTTCTTTAGTTGTCTCCTATCTGCAAGTGGAGTTAATTATACCCGCTCTGCATCTCTTACAAGGCTGTTTGTTGTGAGGATCAAATCCAGGAATAGATGGGAAAGCTTTTGTAACCTGTGAATTTCTCAAGAAATAGGTATATGATTAGTTTATTCAACCATGAGAAGAGGAGTTTGCATATAACATTCCCAAGGACCCCTTTCTTTCCAGCCATAGATTTAAAGACTGCACTGTTAGAATTTCTCTTTAAACCTGGTAATTTTCTTAGGCGTTGTTGGTCTCTAATATATGAATGAATGCAATTGGAAACTGATTTGGTTACTCTATTAATAAACATTGATAGAGTGCCAACTATGTGCCAGGCACTGCTCTAACTCATTTAATCCTCATAATGAACACGTGGAGTAGGTACTCTAAGAAACACTTTCCCATGATGAGATACAGGTCTGTAAACATTCTTTACTTACTTTGTATAGCCCTCCACTCTTCACTGTGCAGCTTGAGGAGTCCATCCCTGAGCTACCTAATTGTAGGCTGCTCAACTAAAGACTGGATGATAAATTGCTCTTGGTCTGGGTCAGCTTTTTTTCCTCCCAAGATAATTTTTTTTTTTTTTAGAAAAAACTTTAAAAATATTGTGATTTTTAAATTGCAGGGTTTTGGGTTTTGTTCATAGCTTCATCATATACTCTTAAAATTCACCTTCTGTCATTGTGAAAACAGACTAGTTTAGACATGAAGAGTGAGTTGAGCTTAAATTGCCTTCTAAATATATTTATGTCTAAGTGTAATCTGGTCACTTGGCTAGTTGCTGACTAATTCTTTTTGTCAATGGGCCTTAGCTTAATGGTGGGCCAAAATATTTATTGAACAACCTCCCAGGTACAGGTACTGTGCTTAATATTGAGAGGTTCTCTCTCTCTCCCTCTCTTTTAAAGATTTATTTATTTATTCATGAGAGACAGAGAGAGAGGCAGAGACATAGGCAGAGGGAGAGACAGGCTCTTCGCAGGAGCCTGATGCAGGACTTGATCCCGGAACCCCAGGATCACGCCCTGAGCCAAAGGCAGACACGCTCAACTGCTGAGCCACCCAGGTGTACCAATATTGAGAGGTTCTAACAATGAACGAGACACCATAGCCCTTTCCCTCAAAGGGCTCACAGTCTGTTTCTTATATTCTTGACCTACTTTAAATATCTAGGAGCATAAATAACCTGTTGTTACCTCCACAGCAGGCAGACAGCTGGTGTGTTATTTATAAGTAGAAATTAGGAAATGGGTCGGGACATGGGGAAGGTTGGAATGATTCTAGAGATAAAAGCTTGGGTAGTGATTATTAGAGGAAGAGGGAAATCATTAGAAATTAAAACACTGGATAAACAGAAGAATTTTTTCCTCACAGAGGATTACAGGGAAGGAAATTCTGGAGTAGATTACAAGGAAAGATGTGTTAGTGACATGTCATAATTATGGTATTCAACAAAGTGGTTAAATCTGAAAAGTGCCCTTTAAAAAAATGTCATTCAGAGTTTAAAGGCAGATTTTGATGTGTGATATAGATTACCTTCCATTAAGGTGAAAGGAAAGAGACCCTTCAGTTTATTCTTTGTATCTAAAATGATAATGGTTTTGTCACAGAAATTTACCAGGGCTGCCATTTTGTAAGGTTTTCCCACAATATAAACATTTTAAGTGCAATACCTAGGTTCCTAGGATATAACATTTCTGGAAACTAACATTTTGGTTGAAATATGTTTGTTGGTTTTAAAAATAAAGGCTTTGTTGGGATGTAATTTACATACTGTGTCATTCCCAATTTAAAGTTTACAATTCAGTGGTTTTTAGTATATTCACAGAGTTGTGGGTCAGTTTGTTTTTAGAGCCACCTGGCTTGTTCCAAAAAGAATTGAAGATGCCTATGATATCTCATTGCTTCTGATTTTGAAAACATTTGCTAGTCTTGACTTGCCAGTGGATATGTGAATCATAATGTCACCATAGATGCTTTCAGTAACTTCAAAGGATTCAGCATTTGTGGAGCAGAGTTTATTAATTAGGCCTAGATGGATCACTAGCAGCAATAAAATGGCATGGTAGTCCTCGCATGAGCTTCCCAAAGGCAGAGAACACTGTAAATGCTGTAGAATGGTCAAGGTTCCCTGAAGTTGTTTAATTAAGAGTCCCATTGTGTATCAGGATGCTGAGTTTTGTAACTATAAAAACTTCTAAAAGCCCTGCTCAAGAAGCCATGTACACTTTCTTAGGTGAGACAGCAATTTAGGCCAATAGGTGATAGGTCTGTAATCTTCCTTTCCTACTATATTCCTTCCTACCTACTGAAGCCATATGGCCTAGATTCTTTTTCCGGGATAGTTCCTGTTTTTTGTTCTATGCCTCTTCCCCTTTACCATCAATCCTGGAAATTATAACATTTTGGTGTTGAAATTACATTTTTCAGACTACTTTCAACATCTGAAAACAGGACGGTAACCTCATCCCTGGTCATGTGCCTTATTTGGGGTTTAGCAAGTATATTTGATTTCCACAAGTATCCCGTCACATCCCTTCCATCTATATTTCCTCCTGATGTCCTGAACAGTCTGTCTCCTGTAAATAATGGTCTGGGATGATTAGTCTACTTGCAGGAAAGAAGCAGGGTATAAAGAAGTGGTTAAACAAGTAAGCACATTTTCAGGCATGTTGAACAGGATGAGTAATAGATTGGGGAGCTGGGAGCCAAGGGAAGCCAAAGAAACTGTTGCAGGAAACAAAATGGTGAAATGATGTAGGTCAGGGAGACTGAGGCACAGGCAGATGATGTGGGAAAGAGGACAAACTCAAGAGACAGGTCTCTGTGATAGATTAGATATAGGGTGGGATGGAGAGGGAACAGTGTAAGTTAACAGCAGTAGCTCTAGCTTTGGAAACTAAGTTAATTCCCATTATATCATGAATTTACAGACTCTGTGGAACTTGTAAGCTACTCAGAAATACTTCTTCAGACTGCTTGAGCAAAGCGGAAAGCTCATGATTTCCTCTTGAAATTTGTTAACTGTTTCTTGAAGTGTGAAGGTCTGGTGTATTGCCCAGTGGCTAAAAAAGTACAGAGAGGTTCCAATTTTAATGAGAGTTGCCACTGCCAGATAAACAGTTTAAATCTTCATGGTGCTTTTAGCTGTTCAAAGTCGGGAACTCTGGAGCAGGGTCTGTGAGTGGGGTTCCTGGATTTAACTGCAACGTCCAAACGGTTGGACACAGGAAGTGTGGGAGAGGAGAGGTAAACCCTCTTACCTTACATCTTCTCTCAGAAGGTAATTTAGCTTGTTTTTAACTTTATAATGGATTTTTGCCTCCATTGGAAGAATCTAGAGGCACATTACCCATTGGGAGGATAGACTTTGATCTATTGTCTCTACTTCAGGCAATTCCTAGTGAAGTATAAGGAATTGTCAGAAGTAGAAACTCCTGGAAGATCTATGGAATAAGGCCTGACCCTGGGTAAAAACATCATGTGGGCAACCACACTCCTCCCATTTCATCCCCTACTGGCATGTCTTCTCACAGCGTCTTCTCAGACTTTTTGCATTTGTCTCCCTGGGGAGTTCCTCTTCTTTCCTTCTAGCTCCATCTCTCTCTCTCTGATCGACTTAGGTAAAATTTATATGTAAAAAAATTCACTCATCTTAAGTATACAGTTTAGTGAGTTTTGACAAATACTTTCTGTCATGTAATTACTACCACAAACAAGATATAGAACATTTTCATCGTCCTCAGGAGTTTTTCATGCTAAGCTTCTTCTCTTCTGCAGTTTATTTTTTGTAGCTAAAATGATAATTTAAAAAATAAATGCCAGTTTACTAGAGTTGTGCTTGCTCACTGGGACAGCAGAAAGAGTTGTTTGTTTTCAAAATGTATAGTATGGTTTCACTTTAGCCCAAGCAATAGAGATACTTGATATAGAGGACTGAGCTGGGGTGTTTCTCCTGTGGATTTCTTTTTTTCTGTTTTTGTTTTTTAAGATTTTATTTTTTTATTCATGAGAGATACACAGAGAGTTAGAGACTTAGGCAGAGGGAGAAGCAGGCTCCCTGTG